ATTAATATGATATTCGAAGAAATCTCTAATAATTAAGAATTCCATATTTTATAAATTATGAAATATATATCTAAAACTCCTATATTTCGTATAATTAAAAATCTAATCATAAGAATAGAGAAATCATATTGAATCTTTCGATTATTCAATGAGAAAAGAAATCAAATTTTAAATTCTATATTAATATGATATTCGAAGAAATCTCGAATAATTAAGAATTCCATATTTTATAAATTATTTCTTCTAAGAGTTTCCGGAAATAGGGGACCCTAATATAATACCCTAAATAATAGGATCCTTATTATAAAGATCCCAAAATAAAGTACCCCCTATTTTCGGAAACTCCCATATATATCTAAAGAATTCTATATTTCGTAGTAATAAAGTATTTCAAATTTAAAATATGAATCTTAAATATATCCAAAATTTCAATCAAATAGACCTTAATATATTCTATAATTCTAATCTATTTTTAATCAAGAAATTATTGAAATAGAATCGAAAAGAATCATATTTCTAGAGATGATTTAAATATTTTTATGAAGATATTATATAATAGGCAAATAATAATAAATATATAGATAACACGAGAGAGAGAAAGACCATAATCAGAATAAAATAACTCAAAGAGATTAATATACCTATATATTTTTATATGAATATAAAGTATATGTCTTTTTGTTTCTATTTTTTGATCTTCCTAATTTATTGAAAATATAGAAAGTTATAAATCTAATAAAAAGATTTTCAAATTTTTTAATAAATTTAAATATCTTATTTCAAATTGAAGAATAGAAATAAAGAGAAGAAATTTAGAAAAAAAATAATATTAATTCTACTTGCTTGAATAATATATAATCGAAAATTTGAGCTAAGTATCTCTATCGGCCATGTTGTAAGTTATGTCATATCTTGAAAACGGACAGAATCCTATCTTGATGATCTTGCTATATTTTTAGGTGATGATCTTGATCGTCATAATCTTGATGTCGACCAGCGGCCTCCGCAGACCGACGGTCGAAAATCAAAGAACCTTCTGAGACCATGCAAGTGTGTTCTTGCACTTCCCGCCTGTCGTCGCAATTCGTCTGGGTTTTCTCGATGTTTTGAACCTCGGGTCAGGTCTAACTCATCTGCAAATCCAGCAGCGTCAAGGCACTATCCGCTACAGAGTAGCAAAACAGGATGGCTCTGACAATAGTGATATTGAGCAGCCCACAAGAATGATAGCAAACAAAGCAGAGAGGAAAGCTCGAGCCCACGACCACGTCCATGCCCTGCAGAACGCGTCCAAAGACCGTGTGCTTGCCATCCAGCCAAGGACAAGGCACCGTCGTGACCTGCAGCAGTCAGGCTCGAAAATCCGAGTACGAGTAGTCTACCAAATTAAAATCTAAAAATCACACAAAAGGCCACAGCTTAAATGGCTGAGCACCCCACGAAGAACTGAGACCCATTCGTATTTGGCCTGACAGCGAGCGAACCCCTATGGTGGAGGCAACGACTGCTTCAGTCCGCTCATCAGAGCTCCTCATGCTACAACTCAACACTACACACATATATCAAGCTCGCCAGTGAGACCCTGCGTTCGCCATGGAAAGGGTGAAGGGACGATCGTGCTTCAGGTTCCGATGGAACTCGTCCTGTCCACAGCAAAAAATCAAGCATGACAACAAGTAAGCTAATTACACTCACCAGCTGATGCTGTACAGAAGGCATCAGTCATGTCACGTATCACAAAATTTCGTGGGCAGCACACGTATTGACATCGCATGTCTCATTTCAACTTCCTGCAACACATCTCTGCAGCCACCGACCAGATCGTTTCCTACGAGTATGCTGAACCAGCAAGGCCATTGGGCACACTGCACAGGTCAGACGGCTTCTCGCCTCAAATTCACCTCCCCAGATGCTCTCACCGCCAGTGCCATCACCCTGTGGGTCTCCCGTCTGGATCATGAAGCCCTGCCAAGCAAGCCAGAGCAATTGCTCCATCTTAATATGCGATGCAGAAATCGCTGAGAGACTCCTCTCCTGGATGACCCGGTGGAAGATGATGTTGTCCTTTCAGAAATATCTTCATGTCTGTTTGATTCTGCTTGCGCACACCAGCTTTGTGAGAATGGAGATCCAAGAAGAACACTTCCACCATGCTGGGCTCGCGACATAGTAACCATTCTTGCAATGCACCGTGAAGTTCTCAACCGACTTTGGACACTCCTGGTGACGGTCGCAACACCCTCCCAAGTTGCTGCTGAAAAGAAGGCTACTGTCGCCGACCTGGTAGAAGAGTTTGACTACAATGTCTCCCATCGTGGTGTGGATAGTCGCTTGCTTGCCAAGAGGGTTCTCCGTCCTCCAGCAGGAAGGTTGCTGTCAGCGGTCTAGTTTGAGGAGAATGCTCCCTTATCAGGGATCTCTGAGAAACCTTGGGGATGAACCAAGTTCCATGTGACCGGAGAGGGTTGAGTTTCAATTCTGCTCGACCATGCTCGACCCTTCCGGCCTGATCGACGCCGCCACGGCTGCGTCTTCCTGCACCCAGCAGGCTGTTCTAGCACTCAAGTCCAGCATTCGCAAGAGATGTGACACACACACACACTTTCATACACTTTGGCGGCCGGAACTGCCTTGCTGGGCTTCTCGTTGAAAACATCTCGACCCAAGTCAGCGGTCATTTCCGCAGGCTCGCGAGCACTGAACAGGTAAAACCTGGCATCGTCCAACATTGCCGACGGCACCCGACAGCCTTCAACGGTGAAAATTCATGGGGGGTCATGGCCTGTTCTTCTTGTATGCAGTGACCAAGGCGATCGGGTCTGCCGACTCCTCGGGCCAAAGCTCAAGTGAAAGGGCCCAAGGGCCTCAGAAGGCTCTGTGACTACGAGTCCTTCTGGTCATTCTCCCCTTCCACGACGGATTCTCCAAGAGCTGCCTCTCTGAACGGTCGAAGATGTACGAAGCAAGACCCCTCAGAGGTAGCAAAGGCCTGGAATATGCAAATCAATGTCCCGACGACGGTAAGCTCCCAAGCTGGCCTTCTTCTTCTGAGCTTTGCCCTGGTACAGGGCAAGGCCAAGGAATCTCTCGGTCTGCTCGACTTTTCCTTCGCAAGACTTCAACTAGGACGTTGTGTGAGTAGAGGCGAATGCTGCCAGATGAGCTCGTGCCAGCGAAAGCATGCACTGTCTCAGGGACACACCAAGAATCTTCACGAGCTTGTTGGTATGCAAGTTGACAATCTTGACGCCGATCTCGAGACAAACACTTGTCTACATTTTACCGTGCAGTTTCAACATGTGCAAGAAAGTAAGGTTGCAAATATCCACAACCTCTTCCAACCTCCAACGTCAAGAAAATCATCTCAGGGTGCTGCAAGCGAAGTGAAGACCAAGAAGTTACAGGACTCGTCGAACAGAGCCTTTGCAGAATTGGCGGCAATGATGCGCCAGCGCTGAGAACACGTGAAGAAAAATCGCTGCACAACATAAACCAATGCAAAAAAACAACTCACGATGGATAGGCCTGCTGATACATCTGCGCAGGGGACTTGCGCATTTCTTTCTCCACGGCAATCCGCCGTCCAAAATCGAACCTGCGTTGGGAGCCGACAAAGGTGAAGCAAGTGCTGGGAAGCCTGCAGCGAAGTTCGCCTGTCCAGGTGGAGATCACCCATGTTCGGATCGCTCTGAGCCGCCGTGAACATCTCCATTGACTCGTCGTATGCACGAACCTCACTGGAGCACAGATACCTCACATCCTGTGCCCATGATCAAGAGCGCTACCCAGTCAAGCTCGCTTTAGTCGTGACATCATAAAAGAAAACTTCTATGGGACCCACCATTTTCATCGTCGCGAAGCGGAAGACTCTCAAACGACCATCCTCCAAATAACGCAGTAGCTGCTCATGACGGCAGGGTTCCATGTGTTGCGGCATGCAAACAATTGCTGAGATGCTAAAGACACACTTTCAACAAGCACTACGAGCACCATACAAGCAAATCTGGACAGCTCCTCGCACACCATGACGAACATGCTGCCATCAACGCTGATGGAGAAAGATATCGCCTCAAACTCGGTTTCAAGTTACAAACACATGTGCAGCACGGAGAGAAGTACACAACGGCACGGGCAACAGTTTTCACACCAAGTCGATGTGTTCGGCAGCAACCTTCGGCAGTTCGTGGCTTAATTCAGGCAAGCAAATCGTCATGCTGAGGCAACCATACATCCGTTCAAGTCCAATGTCAGGAACACAGTATCAGTTGTGACATCATCCAGATTAGTCACAAGTCGTGCCCCAGCTCTGCGTAACAAGAAAGAGAGTGGGGCATCTTTGCGCGTCACTCTTTGGTGTCTACAAGGTAGTCATGTGACTTCCAGCACCATCGGATGTGTAAGAGCTCCACTCCTACACATTCTGATCTTTGGCGTGTGCAGTGGCCTTGAACTTTCAGCCTTCTGCATGCTGAGCCTGCTTTCGCTCTGAGGCTCCTCAGGCCGAGAAGGCATAAGCCTTCGGAGGCGAGTGAGCCTTGGCGTCGAGGCCCATATCCTCTGTGTCCTCAGAAATTCGCAACGCTCCCCACCACTTCAGAAGTGCGAAGGTCAGGGCCGAGATCGTGCCGGCCCAGGCGATCACCATGAGAATCAGGATGACTTGCGCGCCGAGGGCTGAACCGTTGATGCCCGTCTTGCAGGCATCGCTGTCATCCGTCATGCAACCAAAGCCACTCCAGCCGTGGAAGTGGTCGAAGCCCTTGCCCCAGTCGAAGAGACCAGCAGCTAGCACGCCCCAGATTCCACAGAAGCCGTGGACTGGGCTTGCATCCACAGGGTCGTCAATCTTCAGCTTCTGGAGGAGCATAGACGAACACTGGTAGACAAGGGCACCGATAAACCCGACGAGGAATGCGCTGCCACATTCAATGTTGCCGCACGGTGCCGTGATGGAAACAAGCCCCGCCAAGATGCCATTGCAGAGCCCGCCCACCTGAGGTTTTAGAAACTCTGTCTGTGGTTTTCAAGTGATTTCTGCTGTCTTGGGAATCAAATGCCAACAAAATCCAAGCTGCGTCATACTTGCGGAGGATCATGTACCGCAGGAGGAAGACGGTGATGCCGCCGGTGGCTGCAGCGATTGTGGTGTTCATGGCCACCTGGGCCGCCAGTGCCCCAGTGTCACCAGTGTTCATGCCCAGGGTTGAACCCGGGTTGAATCCATACCAACCGAACCACAGTGCGAAAGTTCCGAAGACCACCAGCGGAAGGTTGTGAGGCTCAAACTCTTCCGGGTTGACAAAGCGCCCTTTGCGTGGCCCCAGCACAATGGTTCCTGCAAGACCACTGACTCCACCGGTGAGGTGCACAATGCCACTGCCGGCGAAATCCATGACCTTAGCTGCTACCGGAATCCACATAAGTTCTTCATGTACCTCGAGCAAAATGGCTCTAACGAATCGAAATTCATCTAAAATGCATGTTGGTAACGGACCAGCCCATAGGTTACAGAAGGATTCTCTGGGAACATCCGAGGAACGCCGACATCCAGGATGTCTCCGAGGAAGCCGCTGCCACTCCAACCCCAGTGCACGACCACAGGATAGATCAAAGAGGTCATGACGAACGCATAGCTGGCATATGTCGGACCCTGGACGCGCTCAGCAACGGCTCCGCTCACGATCGTGGCTCCAGCTGTGCAAAATGCCCACCTCGCTTTTAATGTTTATGGTGCATGTCGATTTCAACTGCCCTCAAAGCTTTGAAACAGTACGGGAAATCAAGCATAATCCTAAATTGATAGCTAGCCACTGAAAAAACCACGCAAGTGCCGTGCTCTGGCAAGCGTTGTTGGCACAACCAGGGGCCAGGATATTTCCGGATGCATCCTTCGTGTAGAAGCCTTCTCCCAGGAAGTTTGTGGTGCCAATGAACCGGTTGATGCCTGAACTGGAGAGGCATCAAGAAAATATATGTTAAAATATCAAAAAACATACTTTGAAAAGACCAAAAAATGTTTAAGGGATCGAAAAAACTATTCCTCAATTTATCAGCAAATAGATTCGAGGTAGGCTATCGCAAAGACCCTATTTTAGGGATCACAAAAAATATTCTATTTCGTAAGCAAAATCGAAAGGAAGCAGAATAACGCATGCTCCAGGTGGAGGGCTTGCCCTCCGCTCGCTTCCGGAATCCGGCCAGTACAACGCGAAGAACATTTTGACGGTCCAACAGAACCCACTAGCACTCGGGGTACAAAACCTTCTGGCCGTGTGCGAGAATCTTCGCTCCGTGCCTGAAAAGCGTCAATACTTGTAGGAGAGCCTCTTGGCTCTGGCCCCGGAGTCCGGCAAGCATTCCGGCCGCGCCCGGGTGCGATTGTGTGTGTGTGTGTGTGTTTTTTGCTTTTTGCTGGCCTGTATTCTTTAAACGCGCCCCCTCATTTGGCGATTCTGGTTCATCATATATCTTAAACACGCTGGCGGTTCCGGGTCATCATATATTGTAATCATGCCCCGTCACCTGGCGATTCCGATTCATCCTTTATCTTCAGCCCGGCCCCTCATTTGGCGATTCCGGTTCATCGTTTTTCTTAAACACGACCCCTGATCTGGCGAGTCCAGTTCATCATATACATTAGATTAAACACGCTCCTGCATATATCTTAAACACGCCCCCCTCATTTCCAGCCAGTGCAACTTTGTCAATCCAACAGTTTCCGCTGGTACTCGGGGGGAAATCTTTCTGGCCGTACTACTTCTATCAAGCTGTTGCTTCTTCCACCCAAACACACCTACCAATAAGATCACTCATCTTCACACGCTTTGCGGCTCAAAGAACTTCGAATCAGGACCATTGCATTACAAATGTAAGGGACGAATTGTCTTCAGGGGGATGACAAAAGGGATGGCTTTGGTGCACAAGTCACCTGTGACGCCCAAGATATACGGCTACAATCCCAGCCGGTCTTGTAGGGTTGGCTGCCACGCTGTTCTACGGACTTCGTCCAGGTTGTCCAACATCGTGCTCGGACGCTGTAATAGGGGATGATACATGGCGTGTGATTCCCGTCAAGTTGTGGCTTCCGTCATGGCTCGAGAAATATGCGCCCTGCACTAAGTTAGTATTGGTTAGGTTGAACAAAAGCCTCTACGGGCATCCTGAATCAGGACAGTGCTGGCAGAAACACCTTGAAGAGAGGCTCCGAGCTCTCGGCGGGGCCGAGAGCACCGAGTACCCGTCCACATGGCTGTTCACACACAGTGGTCAAACCGTCAAACACTCGTACTTAATGTGTATGTCGACGATCTTACCTTGAGCGGACCCACTGAGCTTCATGCAGCATTTTGGGCTTCGTAAGAGCGTTAAGCTTGACCCCGAAGTGTACACTAAGGATGGTTGTAGGATTCTGGGTAGGCACCGCAGCTTCACGAAAGACTAGTTTTCTGCGACCTGTGCATGAGAAGTTATGCTACTCAGCTGATAGAGTTCTATGGCCAGACACGCTCAGGCAAGCGCCGTCACCGATAATACCCGAGAGACAAGCCACTGATTCCGAACTTGAGTCCGAGGGAGAACTTCATGGGTCAGTAGATGGACGAAGTTTGAAGATCGTCAGCTGTTCAGGCTCATTTCTTACTTCCATCATTCCCTAGCAACCATTTAGCACTTCAAAGTTCAGTTTCTCAGACGGCAGATTGCGCACTAGAAGTCTTCACGGATGCGGATTTCGCAAGGGCACGCACTCAGCACGCCCAGACATATCTTTCATCGTCACTCGCTCGGCATCGCGTGTGCTTATGCGAGCCCTCTGGCTTAGCCGGTTAGTCTCCAGGCGATGCTTGAAAGCATTCTAGGAATAGACGTGGCCGTGGTTTACTAGCACGACAACAGCGCCAGCCTTTGCAAATGCTGCTGCGGCTCGCCCTACTGAGTCCGCCTGTTCCCAACCTGACGTCGAAGCGATCGCTGGCTACCTTCCATATCGCTTGTCAGAAGGACATCTCCTTCGCCTTCTAAGGCACCTACCGAATGATGGCGCAGTTCGCGGACCAAACCACGGCGAAGTGCATTGCTTTACCGTTGGTGCTTACGACCACGGTGGGGGCATTGTTGGCATCAGGAATGACACTTGCAGGTTTAGTGAGGTTTCTAGTGCGCTTGCTCGCTTTATCCGTCAGCGCTTAAAGAATCATCATTTTGCAGCGGTTGTTTCAGGCTCAGTGCACATCACTCCACAACGATTCCTGCACCGAACCAGAATCTTTTAACCTTGTGAGTTCTCAAGAAGGTGACTGGAGGCGGAATCTGGGTCGAAGACCCCGACGGCACTGACCAATGCCCTCAACTCGACTGTAATTTGCTTGGTTGAATACTGAAACTGCCCGCAAGCTTCCAGCCTTCAAGGAAACACTGCAGTGTTCCATGAGCAGAGCCCCTCGGAACCAGAACTGTGCTCGTGGGTTTAAGTTGCCGCGTGGCATAGGTATCTGACGACCTTCGACTCTGCGATTTCTTTTTCATCGTCGACAGCGGTTAGATTCGGTTAGATGCTTTCATCATCCCAGGTACCGTTTGCACGTAGGCCGGTGATCTCAGCCTTTACGGCTTCTGTATTGACCCGTTCAGATCTAGTGAGGTTCCGGGTAACAAGGACATTAGTGGATACCATAGATGGGATGTTGCGGTCACGTTGGCCAACCAGCTGCAGGATGCGAAGCGAGGTGGTCGAAATGGCTCAGAGTTGCAATCCCGATCGATCCTTATCCTTCAAAGGGCATCGGAACAAAGACAGAAACAAGTGGAAACCCCTCGAGTTGGGTCCATTCTGATGTATTCCATGCTTCGTCGTTTGCGGGCCACACAAAGGAGACACACAAAGGACACATGACCGCCACCGGATATGACATTCTCTGCCAAACTCAGCGCACGCTTTATGACGTCGCTGGCTTTGGACTTCCGCTTAGTGCTTCGGGCTTTGCTTTGCGAACCCTGTTTGTTTGCCACCGTGGGCTTCGAGGAAATCGAGGGAGACTAAACTAAACCGGGCGAAGTTGACCTTCAATCTG